CCTTTCCTTGACCGCTTGCCTGACCACTTCCCTGACCATTTCCTTGACGGCTTGCCTGACCGCTTCCCTGACCATAACTGCTTCCCTGACCGCTTCCCTGACCATAACCGCTTCCCTCACCATCACCTTGACGGCTTGCCTGACTGCTTGCTTGACTATATGCTTGACCACTTCCTTGAATGCTTGCCTGACCATTTCCCTGACCATAACCGCTTCCCTGACCGTCTCCTTGACGGCTTTCCTGACTGCTTGCTTGACCATTTCCCTGACCGCTTCCCTGGCCATAACCACTTTCTTGACTGCTTGCTTGACCGCTTGCCTGACCGCTTCCCTGACCATTTCCTTGACGGCTTGCTTGACTATATGCTTGACCATTTCCCTGGCCATAACCGCTTCCCTGACTGCTTGCCTGACCGCTTCTCTGACCATTTCCTTGAATGCTTGCCTGACCACTTGCCTGACCATTTCCTTGACGGCTTGACTGACTGCTTCCTTAACCACTTCCATGACCGCTTGCCTGACCATGATCGCTTCCCTGATCATTTCCTTGCCGGCTTGCCTGACTGCTTCCTTGACCACTTCCATGACCGCTTGCCTGACCATGATCGCTTCCCTGATCATTTCCTTGCCGGCTTGCCTGACTGCTTCCTTGACCACTTCCATGACCGCTTGCCTGACCATGATCGCTTCCCTGATCATTTCCTTGCCGGCTTGACTGACTGCTTCCTTGACCACTTCCATGACCGCTTGCCTGACCATAACCACTTCCTTGACCATTTCCTTGAAGGCTTGCCTGGCCACTTCCCTGACCATGTGCTTGACCACTAGCCTGACTATAAACCATTCCCTGAATGCTTGCTTGACCACTTCCTTGACCACTTCCCTGACCATTTCCTTGACCGCTTCCCTGACCATTTCCTTGACTGCTTCCCTGACCATTTCCTTGACCGCTTCCCTGACCACTTGAATGTCCACTTGCCTGACCATAACCGCTTCCCTTACCTCTTGCCTGAACATTTGCTTGACCGCTTCCCTGACCATAACTGCTTCTCTGACCGCTTGGTTCACTGCATGCACGGCCGCTTGTGGTTGGGCAACATCTCTGTGTGGCAGGACACTGGCCGTCATGGAAACAGCTTTCAGCAGACAGTGGAATGTCCTGCCGGTTGCGACATTGACCTGGCTTCACTGCATGGACACATAATCAGCTTTAGTTTGTGCATATAGACAGTATGCCACTTCAATATACAGCATGAAACACTGAAAGCATGAATAGCAAGTTTTAACAAAGTGAATTATATTCTAAGTATTATTGCTCTTTATTTTGTAAAGCAATCCTGTGTTTAAAACCATCCTATAGGATGAATTCTAACTTCCTTTGAGAAGAATAACAAAAGGCAAAATGTATCATTTAATCAACAATCAAAATATTATAACAAATACCTGTACATGGAGCCGTACAGTAACGTCCGCATCCATTGCTGCAGCACTTCTCATTGTTGGGACAGTTAGAGTCACGAGTACAGGACCAGGTACACAATCTTCTTACAGATGATAGGGGTGGACACTCTCCTGGCTTTGCTGTTATACAGACACATGACAGAAAGCATCACTGTGTATGCGCGCGTGCGTTACGTGTCGGGGGGGGGGGGGGGTGCGCTAGCATCCATTATTAACTGAAACTCACTGGAAACAAGCAGCACGCAAACAGGCCGACTGTCAAATCGACAGCATTTGTGTCCTCCAGAGCAGTCGGTATCAGAAGAACATCCTCGACGGGACGGCAAGACCGTCAGCTTCACCGGACAGTAACCGTCCACTAGAGGATCATTAGGGGAAGCCAGGGAGTGTGGTTTCAGCACTTGTAAATCAGGGGTTTTGTAATGGGTCTGAAACCTTAATACAAATTTGACATTTATCTGCTTCAAATCAAATGTTTTAAAACCTTCTAACTCCAAATCCTACATTCAAAGACTGAAAGTCACTTATTTCTGCATTTCTTCAGGCTGTGTAATGAATTCAACAGATCTTTTCACCTGTGATTCGTCTTTGAATAGCATCTGTAATGCTCAAGTATCCGAACAGACACGATAAAAGCACAATCAACGAGCAATGCACTCGAGCCGTCATCCTCCCGACCTGCGATCTCACAATGATCTCTGCTGGAAAATGCGCTGAATTGGTACATCAGGCGCAGCGGACAGCAAAGCGCACAAAACTAAACCACATAAACGTGTAGCTGCAATATGGGGTTAAAATGGGGTTTTAAAGATCCAAATACTGTGTGTCACTTATTTCTGCATTTCTTCAGGCTGCGTAATGAAGTCAACAGATCTTCTCACCTGTGGTTTGTCCATGAGTAGCTTCTGTTATGCTCAAGTATCCGAACAGACACGATAAAACAGCAATTAATGAGAAATACACTCGAGCTGTCATTCTCCCAACTTGCAATCTCACAATGATCTCTGCTGAAAAATGCGCTGTATTGGTGCGTCAGGAAAAGCAGACAGCGACACGCGCAAAACTAAAACAACTAAACGTGTTGCTGCAATATCAAGCTCTGTATAATGGGGTTTTAAAGATCCAAGGAGATCAGGTCAACTCCAACCCTGATCAAACTCACCTGCCTGTAGCTTTCTAGTAATCAGACTGGAAGACCTTGATTAGCTTGTTCAGGTGTGTTTGATTGGGGTTGGACGAGCTGAATGCTGCATTCACACCATGTCATAATTATTAAGGTAGCCTAATTACGAGAGGATTGTGCGTTTCTGGCCCTGTCCCAAATGGCAGCCTAAACCCTCGCAGTCTTCCTCTGAGTCTAAGGTCTGAGGACACCCTAAGGTCTCGTGGACTTAACGGACATGTGCACGCGGTGGCCATTGTAAGTCCGTAAGACAGCAAGTGCACATGAAGTGTTCCATTTGGGACAGGGCCTCTATGGCGACACTGCAGCGGTCAGGTGGTACAGTGATCATGTTGTAGTACCAATAGGTGTGATCGACTTCATGCAGCGCTAAGCAAATCAAAGCAGTGCGTGCCGGTTCTTCTTCTTCTTTTTTTTTTTTTTTATTAACCAGAAAAATATAAACAACTAATGCACAAGAGTGTACAAACCATTTATTCAGTAATCAACAACTGTATATCTGTGGAAAATATTACAAGTCTTGTTTGCTTTTTTATTAACAATGTTCTCCAAACTGGTGCATAGTCTTGCCCTCAGGCAACAAACCACTTTTTTGGGCCTCACCCCCCCCCCCTTTAATTTTTTAAATAAAAAAATATATACATATAATATCACCTGACATGTCTGTTCAATAAAATGATGGGCTGAAGTGGGTGTAGCCTTTTGTTTGGGGATGGAGCAGTCATTTTAGGAAGCAAAGCTGCATGGGATACAGTGCCACAAATTGGTAAGATAAATAGCACTATTTAACATGTTTAAAATGAAATATCTTTATATTTAAAAAAAAATATATGCATGTGCATCAATATGTAAATAAGTATGTATGACTATTAAAATACTTATTTTGTTTTTATTTATATACTGAAACTGTGTTTTTGTTTTGTTTGTTGCCTCAGGGCAACATTGTGCAGTTAGAGCCCTTTTGTTCATGCAATAGGCCTATCGTGCTAAAGTGTGGATGCATATTAGAACCATATGGTGCATTCAAGTCCTCCTATGAATTGTATGTTTACGAGCTCTGAAAACTCAAAGAATCTGCATTATGTATGTAATTGATATTTATTATTATTATTATTATGCTGCCACAGGGAATCAAGCCTATCAGCTGACTAAATGAGTAGTGTTTTCTGGCAAACTTTCTCTTCACACACACACACACACACACAGTGGCACACACAAAGTGACACACACAGTGGCATACACACAGTGGCACACACACGCAGTGACTGTGGTGGCTTCTGCCACTGCTGTGGGGAATCATTCTTAAAGTATTGGGGTTTTGATGCCAGAATTTAGATTTTATTATTTAGAGACAATAAAACCGAGAAAGCTCTGCAGAACAATCTATCGAGTCTGTGTCTGTACTCTCTTTTATACAGTGCTTCCCGAAGGCATGTTCAATACATTTCGTACATATGGTTATTGCTTATCAACTCTTTTGGCTGTTTCTCCAGCCTGCCACCCAGAAGCAGACAGGAGGCCCCAATTTATGTTCCATGACTAAAGAGGCCCCATCATATATTTTGTCTAATGTCCAAATAGGATGTGCAGCTTCACCATATACTGCAGTTTTGTAATGTCTGCACATTCCATTCTCATGCAGGCCTCTACACACAGGCAAATACCTGATTATAATAGTAGAATAACTTGATACATAAATAGCTAGATTCACATTGATTATACTTGATTAGTTCATATATTGATTAATAAAAATATTCCACAGTATGTGGGGGTTCCTGGTGAGGGGTGTGCTGGGGAGACGTGGCGAACTCCAGACGACGAGACTGAATTTTCCTTTATTTCTTCCACTTCAAAATCGGAACTGTTTAAATAAAGCATGAGATTAACCAGTTCGATCAACGGAAAATCACACCTGGGAAGATCGCAGTGGACAGTCACGTCGTCAAGCCCCAGCTGGAAACACACACCTAGAGTGGCGTCGTGCCAGCTCATCCGGTTCGCAAGCTCGAGAAATTCCTCCACAAATCGCTCCAACCTCCGACTGCCCTGCTGCAAACGCCACAGCTGCTCCTCAGCTGCTGTCATCCTTTTCTTTTTTTGGTCCGGTATTCTGTCACACTTCAGCTGCTGCTACTGTGATGGAACGAGGAGACGTGGAGTAGGCTTCAAACAAACAGTCTTTAATAAACATCCAATGGTACAAAGACCGCACACGTAGCAGAGGGGAAAGACGAACAATACCAGACTCTGGACATGGGAAAACACAGGGCTAATAAACTCAGAACCAAATGGGGAACACCTGGAAATCAATGAACGTAATCAAGGGAGAAACTGGGTAATGGGGAGCATGTGAGGGAGGAAAACACAAACAAAACAGTCCTTGGGTGTGACAGCGCCATGGTACAACAGTAATACCCATTCTCTCAAGAAAGAAACCTGATCCTGAGCACAAATGGAGAAAAACTAACTTGGTAGTTTTTAGAATTGCATGGAAAAACAGTATGTCCGAGCATATCCGCAAACTCATAGAAAATAACCAAAACAATCCAAGGTTTTTATTTAGCACAGTGGCTAGATTAACAAATAGCCAGATGCCACCCGATCTAAATATTCCCTCACAGTTTAATAGTAATGACTTTATGAATTTCTTCACTGATAAAATAGATAACATCATAAATACAATAACAAATTTAGATTCTACAGCGTCTATTACTTTAGCTTCATTCATCGCACCAAAAGATAAACTGCAGTGCTTTACAAATATAGGACAGGAAGAGCTAAATAAACTTATCACCGCATCTAAACCAACAACATGCCTGTTAGATCCTGTACCCACTAAATTACTGCAAGAGTTGTTACCTGTAGCAGAAGAACCGCTTCTCAATATTATTAACTCATCGTTATCTTTAGGTCACGTCCCAAAACCATTCAAGCTGGCTGTTATTAAGCTTCTTATTAAGAAACCACAACTAGATCCTAATGAACTGGCAAATTACAGACCCATTTCAAATCTTCCGTTTATGCCTAAAATTTTTGAAGAAGTTGTGTCTGCTCAATTGTGCTCCTCTTCATCTCTACTAAATTACTGAAAGAGTTGTTACCTGTAGCAGAAGAACCGCTTCTCAATATTATTAACTCATCGTTATCTTTAGGTCACGTCCCAAAACCATTCAAGCTGGCTGTTATTAAGCTTCTTATTAAGAAACCACAACTAGATCCTAATGAACTGGCAAATTACAGACCCATTTCAAATCTTCCGTTTATGCCTAAAATTTTTGAAGAAGTTGTGTCTGCTCAATTGTGCTCCTCTTCATCTCTATGAAGAATTTCATAGGCCCTTGCTTCTTGCGTCAGACCAAGGCTGCATCTCATTGCTAGTTTTATTTGATCTTATAACTTCTAAATTATCTAAGCTAACAGAGTGTATTAAAAATGTAAAAGTACAAAAAAAAATAATCTTATTGAATTTGCATAAGGCAGAGATATTATTTATTGGACCAAAAAGCAGTACACAGAATCTCTTGAATTACAATTTGCAACTAGACAGATGCACTGTTACTTCCACTGCAGTCAAATATCTGGGTGTTATATTAGACAGCAACTTGTCTTTTGAAAATCATATTTCCCATGTTAAAAAAAAAAAGAATTCTTCCATCTTAGAAACATTGCCAAGCTAAAAAAACATGTTACCTGTTTCTGATGCAGAAAAGCTAGTTCATGCATTCATGACCTCTAGACTGGACTATTGTAATGCACTGCTAGGTGGTTGTCCTGCATCTTCAATAAACAAGCTACAGGTAGTCCAAAATGCAGTGGCTAGAGTCCTTACCAGGTCAAGAAATTATGGTCATATTACCCCAATTTTACAGTCTCTGCACTGGCTACCTATCAAGTTCCAT